CACCCAGCCACACCCAGATGGTCGGATGGTCGTACATGCGAAAAATCATATTCATTCGACACATCCACTCACTTCACTAGAGACTAAAAATCACCCTGGCCTCCATGTGACCCCTGGCTCAATCATACTCATATCATCTCATATCATTGCCTTCGAACCCAGCTTCCTCGACCAAGTCTCGACTCCGTAGCCTTTCCCTTGAAAGACCTGGCGTCCACCGGCGCCGGGCTGTGACCACCCCCTCGGCCCGGACCAGTCCAGCGTCGGCGGACTCATCGTCTTACCACCCTGTACCAACACCAAGAGGTGTTAGTGTCATAACCTCTTAGAGGTCAAACAGTGTTCAAAACCACCCTGGAAGGTGCTGGATGGTCCTGGTAGATGGAGTAGATGGAGGATTGTTTTGGGATCTGGGGGTGCGGGACCTCGTGAACCCCCCGTAGATGGCCAGGAGGATGGAGTGTCCAGGCATACCGCTCGTCATCTTTGTGCACACCCGTGGCGAGAACGTGAGGTCCCAGAAGAGCATCTGGCATCAACGTCTTTCCCATCTTCTTGGGAAAACTGGCACGACAGGGAATGCTTCCATGTTCTCCCCAAAGCCCGACTTCGATTCTCGGGCCTTCGCAAGAAAGGATATCCTTCTTCTTCGCACCAAACAAACAAGTAAAACTCCGCAAAACCCACCCCTCCCTCAGCCGAAAAAAACACCAAGGAACATACTAGGACCCACGGTCGGGGTGGTTAATGGACACCCCTGAAGCTCCACAAGGGGCTATCAAATTCGACACCCCGTGTCCCGAGCGAGATCCTGGTCAGGGTGAATTTGGTGGCGCCAAGGGCCACCCCCCTTGCACATACCTCCCGCCGCTGCCGCCCTGTTGATGCTTAGCAGGCGCCTCGGGCGCCATGTAGTGCGGGGTGCCCACCACCGTGTAGGTCCGGCTCTCCAACTCCCCCAGCTTCTTGGAGACCTCGGTGCGCGGAGACACGCGCACCGCGTGAGTCGCACCGGGTGAGTGGAACTGCCAGTGGACGAAAGAAGGAATAAGAAGAAAGAAGATGAGAGAAAAAAGAATCAGATATGCTGTTCCAGGTGCTGAATTTCTTGTTCCTTGTTCCTTCACGGATTCCTCATCTTCTTAGAATCTTCTTCTTGATGTTCACAGAGATCGGATGAAGGTGAACTCCGACTCCCACACGTTGCTCTTTTTGATATGCTGAAATGGGGGAAAGGGAGGTCACGCTACCTTTGGAGCCAGTTGCGTCCAGTTGCGTACAAGAAGAAAGGACATCATGAGAACGATTCACTCACTGGAATCACCTCTTGAAGCTCCAGGCAAAAGGCCAGGCTATTCTTTACATCGTATCCATATCGCATCCTTGCGGTGTGTGACATCTGGATCAGCGTGGATGATCATGGGCCGATGACAAGCACTTACATGAATGTACATTTGGAAAACAATTGCGGCCACCTCCAAGCTATTCTTTACACGGTGATGATATTAACAGACTTGATGACCTCAATTGTCGGCCGGCTCCGTTTCCCAAAACCTGCACCATCCGAGACTGACTCTCCATCTGGCAGCAGGATGCAAGATCAAATCAACAGCACAAACATCGCCTGTTGACATCAACATCAAATCCACATCCTTCCATCTCTAGGGCCTCTAGGGTAACCTTCAACATCCTATGACCCCTACATCCTATGACGACTCAGCTCGCGACGCCAAAGTCGATGATCTTCACATAGCCCTCGTGACGATGTGAGGATCGGGACATGGCACCGGGACGCCGTGGACCAAACGTCCTGGTGGACCTGTTCACCAACCTTTCCGTCTGGTTGTCTGGTAGGTCACCAGGACGGTCAACCAGACTGGAGAGGCAGCCGGTCAACCAGGTCTGGGGTGTCTTTCGGACGGCTTTCGGACGTTGGGCCGGCCTATCTTTCGGATGGCAAAGAATGCATGCATGCTCAATGGTCTACTTCTCGTTTGAAAGAAGAAAACAACCCATCCAGTAGGGAGCAATTGGTGGAATATTGCGGACGGTGTACAGGTCCAACTGTATCATCGTCCTCCTCCTCCCTCCTCCCTCCTCCCTCCTCCCTCCTCCCTCCTCCTCCCTCCGCCTCCCTCGGCCTCCCTCCTCCTGCCTGCTCCTCATAATTACCATGATGTTTGAATTCCTGGCTTGCTGAATTTCAATCCTTCCTTTAGCCCAAACAATCCTCGGCAACGACAGGATCCAAGGCTCCCTGATATTCCAATGATCAATTTAAGTAGAAATCATGGTTGGTTTAATGGGAGTGTTGGCAAGCCCAAACATTTTAGGGAAGGCCAACCGTGAAGGTAGGGTGAATCAATCCCCACAAAAGGTTGAGACTGACTGGGTCGTTTTGGTTCTAACACCTTCATGTCTTTTATCATTCTCTATCCTTCCTGTCTTTTGTCCTTTTGCTATACTTCCACTAAAAAATAAGGATGCATGCCTTGAATCCGGGACTGAGGGAGTGCTCGTGGTGATCGATTCGATGGATCGACATTCGCTGTCACCGTGGGCCGCAGCTGTAGGAGACGACGTCCATGTGAAAACCGTCCGGAGACCACAGGTCGTTGGATAATATCCTTCAGGAAAAATATCCGGTCGTTTATTACTTATTACTATAGACCCCCTTTCGACCACCCCAAGGTGGGTAAAAATGCGATCATTCGCTGGCGCGCGTAACCGTGCGTACATGGAGTGTATGGGATACGGATACGCATCTTGCCATGTGTGTTCTCCAAAAAGGCCCCCTGCCTCGCCATGTCAAGATCTCTTTGGCGATACACAAGCCAGACACCACCTTCTGTCCGTGAATTTTTCTGCAGGACGGACTGTTGTCTTTTAAACGGGTGGAGAACCACCATGTGTTCTCCCGTTAGACCGTGGAAGACCGGCCTCCTGGTCCAGCATCACATTTTCGGGCTTCAAGTCCCGATAGACCACCTGGAGACGGTGTGGCGAGCGAGGGCGGAGAGCGGCGAGGGCGTGGCGGCGAGGGCGTGAGGTGAAGCTCCACCACGCGTCTTTGGTGATGAACCTGGCTATTGAGATCACCTATCAGTATACACAGTTGATGATCCAATGATCCCCTATTAGTAATTTCTAATAGACTGTGAGTGGTGGTTCCCTATCACTACACTGTTGGTGATGGTTTTGAGTCAAAGGTCTTTGGATTTTGGGTGTAACCGTTGGCCACCGAGACCTTTTGGCCACCTTTGGCTACGGACACAATGGACACCAATTACTGGATCGCAGTGTTTCAACCCAACAAACGCCGGTGACTCTTGCATGGACAATGGACACCCAAATGTATATATAGACAGACTCTTGATTCACAAACCCACCCCATTTAGATTGAAACACCTCTTCAGGCTTGTTCTTTTTTTCTTAATCAAGGGTCTACATTAGAAAGGTTGTAATCAGACCCAGCTGCTTGCCGTGTCTTACCCCGGCCGTGTTTTCCCGGCCGTGTCTTACCGTGGGGTGTCTCCCCGCTTGACCTCCCCCGCGGCGAAGCCACGTTGCGGTCCCAGAGGGCTTCCACCGCGATGAGGATGGAGGCCGTGTAGAATCGGGCGGCCTGCGAAGCTGAGCGACGACGTGGCGGCGCGGGGCCACGCGAAGGTTGGATGGTGTGGCGGAAATCACATCTACAGTGGTTTCAGAGTAGGCACTGACAAAAAAACAAGAAGAGGTCTGTCCAGATGTGGGTTTTTGGCCATTGGTGATTGTGCCATCTACTCTGAAACGATTGGAATCATCGGTTTTTTTTCAGGGACAGAATCCGCTTCAGCTTCACAAGTGCCAAAGACTCCAACTCCGCAAAATGGGTATGGCTGGTCTGGGACCCAGGAAACCGTAGGATTGATATGGATTTATGTCTGTCTATGGGACTCACACCGGAACAGGTGCCACTGTCCAGTCGCACACTTCCGTTGGCCCACAAGCAGAAAACCACATGAGAATCAGATGCGCACGCGTGTACTTCCCGGTTCACTGAGAAATGCACGTCCCTCTTTTCTATCTTTTTCTCCGATGGGTTCACCGTGTTCGTCCCGAGGCCAGCCACGCTGAGCATTTGTACAGTTTCTGCGAGAACGTTCTCGCGGCGCACGTGGCGTTCGCGGCGTTCGCGCGCTGGCGAGGCATGGGCGAAAATTCGGGGAGCTCAAAGCCTTGGGTGGATGATCTGGCCGAAGCAAAAGGTGAATTTTTGTGCAAAAATGATCTGATCATGGAAGACTCGTCGTCTACCGAGATTCTTGCAGCAACTGGCAGGAAATTTGCAAAACCTTCAAGCCATCTCGCATCAATCAATATAACCTGGATGAACCCCTAAGCCTGGAAGGAGCAGTACAAAATCGGGATTTGTCCGCCTACCATATAGTCTTGGGTAGTTTGACTTCGTTTGGCACACGCAATTCTTGCTCAAAAGCTTTTGGCCTTCCCAGCATTCAAAAGGACTAGACTATATTATCTGTTCTGCCACGGTCTTTTCTACGATGTTTGCCCCTCTCAAGCATTCCCCATGTCTTTCTTGACATGTTCCGTTCGAGGCCACTACAAGCCGCCCAAGGATCATAGAATTGTGCGGGTGTTGAGAAATCTCTGTTCGTGCACATTGCTGTGCTACCAGAGTACCAACGAGCTGTTCTCAGACCTGATTCATCGATGCATAGTTGAATGAACAACAATTTTTGGACTGGACTATTAAGAAGAAAGCTCGAACTGGTGGTTGTTGCTGCTTCTCCCCAAAGCGGTGGCCATCTTGCAAACATGCTCCGTGTTTCACGAACCAGTTACTAGCCATGCTGGGCCAGTCACTGACTGCCGTGCTGCAGCCAAAGCGAGCTCTGCACTGTTGAAATGACAAGACGTTTGTGCCGTCAAGGGAGCTCTGCTTCAGCCACAGACATCGGTGCCATCATTCCATCCTTGACTCACCTATAGGTCTTCTCTCACCAACCTGGGTCAACAGCTCATTGGTCCTTTCTCGGGCGAGAAATTCCTGCGGGCACTTTGTCCGCCGTCTCAGCGTTTCCTCGCTGGAAGACATGGGAAAAAAGGTCGACCTGAGGCGCAAGACGGCTCGAATCCCAAGAGTTGACCAGGTCCGGTCGACCGGAGGTCCTTTGAGGAAAATAGAACCCAAACCACTCTATGACTCTATGTATGGCATATATGTATATATGCCGCCCCATGGACCCCAGGTCAACCACCCCCAACTGATCAGCAAATATGGCAGTCCCAGACAGGTCGTGTCTGGGATAGGATGTTCCTTTATTGGTTGTTACGGTTGGGCCAGCTTGGGCCTATTTCCTCCGATAGAGCGCCATCTGTCCAATAACGGTGCAAAGCAACGCCGGAGCAATGGAGGTTCAGGGAAGCCTATATGTCATCTAAGGACAGTCCAAGCGTCGGTATGCGACCGCCACAGGCTTCTTTCACAAGAGTTCAGGATTTGTGTGGGATGCCGAGTGCTGCAAAATTGAAGTACTTGATCGCCATGTGATTGACCACCAGTGACTACCAAAGACTTTAACTTGCACTTCGATAGTCATCATCCAAAAGCCACCCCCCCCTGGTCGATGAACGATGGTCCCTTACTCCAGGTCTCTCTCGTCTTTCGCACTTCGTAACAGGTACCGGGCGCGGGGACGCGGGGTGGACTTCCCAAACACCCAAAGTGGTGGTGGACTGGCCGTGGAAGGCTTAGGCTTGGGGGCTCTTGGACGTGGAGCGGACCGGCTATACGCTGCCGCCCCAGACCGATGGGTGTGGGGTGTACGAAGACCGACACCAGGCGTTCCGATCCCCCTGGATGAAGGGAAATCAGCCAAAACCCGGACCAGGGCGTCCTCCCTATTACACACCCAATTGCCAAGGCTCCAAAGACAGAGAATCCACAACGAAACCACAACACCACCACCAAACCAAGCGTCCCATTCTTTGGCAGGAAAAGCTGCACTGGTCGGCCCTCCCCCGGAGTAATTCCTTCTTCGCAAGTCGTGAAGCGTTCAACGAGGCTGGAGTCGATGCGTCTGAGTCTTTAACCAGAAAGCCCTCCCCAAACAAAGCACTCACCACCACCACCACCACCATTATTCAGGGCACACCCCGAGACCCCGAGACTCCACTCTCCACCGTGCAGCTCAGGCACCAAAATGGTCGCCTGGGCCTCCAAATGGCAGAGACTACTTGGTTTCAGGTCTTCAAGATGGCACCCCCAGAGGTCTTAGACTCAGATTACCCCAAAAGCATTGGGACAGGAATTGGACCTCCACTCTCAATCTGGGATGGACCAATGAGTTCATTGACCCGAAAAACATTGGGACCTTGATGGGCCTTGGGTCGGGTGAATCCATTGTGACCTTGGGACCTCCATTACTCTAGACCAATGGATTCACCCGACCGGTCCTGGAGCGTCTACTCGAAAAATCCCATCGAATCCACCGGTCAATCCGACAGGGTTTCGTTCTGGACAGGTGGCCACTGGAGCTCCAAGTGACAGGATGACACTTACACATCATGCTGCAGACTGGACGGTGCTGGAGTCTCCAAAAGTTGTGGCAGGAGTAACTCACCAAGTGCAAAAGTAGTGGGGGAACAACACGCCAAGACCGATTGTGAGGATCAGTGTTCAGGCATTATTGTTTGGATGCGACTCGACATGGGGCATGCCATGGAAATGCTCTTGCTGCGAATGCATGTGTCAGAAGGTATGATTGTTCCTGGCTACTAATTATTGTAATAAGTATATATATATATACATACCCCAAAATTCACCTGGAATGACCAAAAGAATGATCGGTGCTGAAAAGATCGAGATCAAAATGTTCCAGCTGCAGATCTACGAATGCGTGCAAACTGGAACTCCTCCACCTTCTGCGGTCTGTGTTTAGCCCTTGGTGGCAAGCAAGGTTTAAGAGTACACTTTTCGAAGGTCAATGATATGACCTCACTTATGAAACTTATGAATCCTTAGGGTGAGTCATGGCAGCTGTCACTTCGGATCTGTCCCAGCCTACACGAGCAGTAGTACTACACCAATTCGGGCCCCAGGATCCTGCCTTAAAGCTTGGCCGCGGGCTCAAGACCCTGGTAGGTCCTCCTTGGCGGAGCAACGCCCGGTGCAAACAACGAAAATTCGAGGCGCGGGGACGAACCGGACACCGCAGACCAGAAAACGCGTTGATGGATGTCCCAGCAACAGGCCCTGAACGGTGTTAAGTGAAGGACCAGAAAGGTGAATAGGCGAACTTCCACACTCAGGTGCACACACAAGAGTATATACATATAAAAATATAAAATAAAAAAACACAAATGAGAGCACGTATGTGTAAGCACACATATGAGAGCACAGGTATGAGAGAGCACAAATAAGAGAACACTGGCAACAAATGTGAGAGCACACATGCGAAATGACAAATATCAGTCTCATGTGAGAGCAAACATAAGCACACACATGACAGCAAACAGGTGAGTGCACACACATGTCAGCATACATTTTGAGAGCACCAATATGAGAACACACACGCACACATGAGAGCTCGAGCACAAGTATGACAGCAACAAAATGTGGGAGTGCATGTGCACTTTGAGGTTCACCCAGCGCTGCATCTGTCACCAAATCTGCGCTTCGCGGTCAACACACAGGTGCACCTGCCACGAAATCTGCACATCGAGGTTTACAAGTGCTGCGCCTGCTGCGATATCCGCACTTCAAGGTTTACGCAGCGCCACGCCTGCCACGAAATCTGCTTTAATTGTCAAGGTTCTGAAAGCCCTGCACTTGCCACAAAATCCGCACTTCGAGGTTCACAAAGCGCCGCTGCGCCTGCCACGAAAGGCGGGCCTTTCACTGTGTCTGCCCGATCCCCATGCAAACAGGGCTCCTCTTGCGCGCTTAACCCGCCTGTGCGGTTGACTGTGAAACCGGCGTCTGTCAGTTTTGTGCCTCGTTGGTGTGCGTGTTTTTGGACAATTCCCTGAGCTTCAGTGAAAATCCAGAGTCTAAGAGGATGCATCAAGTTTGCCAATGGAAGTCTAAGAGGACCACATTGAGCCGAAATCTTTCCAATCTCCTTGGGAGACCAGTCCGCGAGCTGCGAAGCCACCACTCCAACCGTCGTCGCGTCGCGCGAAGCCCTCCCCGCGGGATCGGTCATTGGCACGAGAGGCTGAGTCAGGAAGTCCGTGGGCAAAGGCACGATGTGATCAGCCAGGTTGGTGATGATCACCTCAGATGACAGTTTGGGCTGGTCATTTTCACCTCCAAATACCATTCTTGGATGGCAGGTTTCGTTTGCTTTTGACAGGTTGATGATGACATGTGACCACCTCAGCGCCCCTGACCGCCAGGTTGGTGAGGCCATCAGCCAGGTTGCTTCTGAAACAATCACTGGTTGGGTTTATTGTTCCGTCGGATCGACTGGGAAAGAATTTGTGGGGAGGTCCAAGGCGTGCGAGCGAGGCGTGCGGTGGATTTATCATGTCTTTTAGGTGCTTTTCAGTGATGATGCTCTGAGGATATCGATGTTCGCATGCCAAGTGCTTTTGGACTTCTTTTTTTGGACTAGGGAAAGAACGTTGCAGCACTGATGAGAACCATGAGTGCTGCAAGCAAAAGAACATGGGAATCCGACGACAAATCCCAGCACCCCGGTGTCGTAGAGTAGCACAGAGTGGTGTGGCACGACCACCACAAAGATGTGCCGATTCATGGTGTCAAATCATGTTCACCATTGCCCCCCTTTCCGCTTCCCTGCGTTTCGGCAATCTCCTTCGAAACATGGACCGATTGTGTCGGTTTTTTCCATACTCTCAAGGTTCATCCAAAAAGCATCAAAAAGCGCCTCAGACTCGAGAGTCCTTTGCAAAAAAATGGAAGAGATCTCTTTCTGCAGACCTGGAATGATATCAACATGATCATAGATTTGGCATGACCCGCAAAAAAACGACCCTCTACGACTTTACCTGAGGATGACTATTGCCTGATGAATTCGAACGGAAATCCTCAGTACAGGACTCAGCACTGCAGGGTGTTTCCAGCTCTGGATAGCCAGCTATCCCTATCCGACGCCCGGTCTGGACCAGGGCTGGCCAGCCCTGGTCGGACCAAAAGAAAAAGGTACAGTACCACCATCATGTTTGCTGATGAGATCGGAAGGAGACGTTCTGGAATAGTTCTCATCCCACTCACCCGCCCGGATGTTGTAGAACCACCACCCGCCTAAAAGATCCAGTCGTACCTCACCGAAGCTCAGGTTCCGGGGTTGACTGGACCCGACCCTGGCACCTGCAGAACAGGTGCTACTCATCACCTAAGAAGGTACGACTGGATCCCGGCCGGACAACGGAACGCCCGATTCGGCCCAGCGACGTGCTTCTCGGTGATGCTGGGGATGTCGGGTGTGCCGGAGAGACGCATCACCTGCTCCGGCTGCGGCATGGGCGGCTCCGAGATTACTGAGAAGGTCCATGTCGCACGCGAAGAAGGACGGGAGAAGGAAACCGAGGTCGAGGTCGAGTGCAGCCTGTTGATAGGGAAATCACGTTCCGAGGCAGACCTATTATAGCCCTGCATGTTATATGAGTGTTGCGGTGGATGATTCCTTTTGGTGGGTGTTGATAATGTGTGTTCAGCGCTTTGTGCACCTGGCTTGATGCAGACAGGCCAGCAAGAAGACCTTCCTGTCACCCTAGGCTCGTGCTTGGGCCCCTTCAATGCCAGATCCCAGGAACTCCAATGGAAACTTAACCTGGAGATCCTCTAACCAATATCTGTTCGTTCATTCGTGATCTTCCAGGTAGCCAGCATATCATCTATGCCCCAGAAAAAAAAATATCAAGAAACATCAATCTACCAGGAGTCACAAAGGGGTGGTGTTTAGTCCCTAAGTGAGTGGATAATGGGCACCCCTAACCTCCAATAGGCACCCCTTTGTCATCAAGTTCCATGGAGGAGACCTCATGGCATCGACTTAAATCGGTCCTTTCATGTCTTTTCATACCAAAGTGGATGATTATGTTCAGTCTTTTCATGACCCACGCAGGCCTGGTCCTCAGTCATCTACCTTCAATGATTGGGGGGGGCACACTGATCAGTGATGGTTGGCTCGTCAAGGAGGCAATGTACTAAATGTTGAAACAAAAGCAGAAGGGAAACAATCATGAGAATTGAGCCGTGCTGAAGATTTGTATCCAAACACTCCATGAGAATATGATCCATATACGTTATCCTCTTGATATTCCATCTTAAGGGGAATGATTAGTCATTCGAAAGTAGATTGACCAATGAGAATGCGGGAATGCAGCACAGTGCCATTGCTTTGCTGCAACCACTCTCACCAACTTCCCCGGGCGGCCAAATCAGACTCTGAGCCGTTCTCAGCAACTCGTTCAGTTCCCAGCAAATCCTACTCAAATTAAGGGTCACCCTTGCCGACGCGATCTGCAGTAGATTGTCTTCAAACACTTGGATCACCCGTCAGACCAACGCCCGCCCCCTCCCACGACCGACAGTTCAGGCACCATCTGGAGCTCATCTTGCAGCATGTGCACCATACGGACGATGCCATTCCTTTGCTAAAAGGCGAGACTGGCGTGGTTATGGCAGCACTGAGACGTCCGTGACGGGATGCAGACCATGCATGAAGGCTGGCTTTCCTTCCCCGAATTCTTTTTATGGATGGAGACCCCTTGCTAAACGGTTCTGGAAAAAACATTGTGACAAATCGCACAGAGAGAAACATCTGAGGGTGGAGTCACAAATATTCTATATGGTGGAGTGGCCACCAAGATGTGTGAGAACGACGCCACCGCTGCTGCTGGGGCGGCGGAAAAGAAACTGCACCCTTCATCCAAGCCCTTCGTCCACCAAAAGTGGATGTGTTCAGATCCATTTGGCAGTGGGGCCCCTTTCACCCTGGTAGCTTGACCTCCCTTGTAGTCTATTCTATTCATTTTCGGTGGTCAAGCGGTCGGTCTCCCTGTTTCGATCCATAGCCATTTCCAGAAGACCCGCCACGAACTTCCAACACGGTCATGTTGAGGTCCATTTCGTGAACCCCAAAACCCATTGGCAAAAAGGTGAACTTGGTGAACCATCCACCTCTTCCCGCATGGGATGTCACCCTGTACCCCTTTCAGAGTCTCCAAAAAATGAATGAATAGTACCCCAAATAGATAGAAAGATTAGGAAGTCGAATTCCCAAATCGATAGAAAGTGGAAGACTCTATCTACCAGGATTATTTCATTGGGTGTGCAATGGAGGTTCACAAGTAGTGTAGGGTAGTCTAGGTTGGTGGTTCCGCCTCACGTGAAAAATATACTGTAAGTCAGTGGGTTCAGTCATCTCAAGTTTTCAAGTAAAGCTTGAAAACAAAAACCTCCAAAAAGCACCATCCAATAGTTTGCTTTTTGTGAACCATCCTTCACCTCCGCTATCTGTGTCTGTTCCCGAATGTGCAAGTCCTGCACTGTTTTTGGACGCCCAACTGATGCCAGAAGTCCTGCACAAGCCGTGTTTCCAAAAAAGAACATCTTCAAAGTGGGATAACCATTTCAAATATCTGGTTAGCTGCTTACTTTCCGGAGAACCCTTGAATTCCTGAATGGTCCTCCGTGGTACACCTGACTTAACATTGAGATGCTTCAAGTGACATCCCCCTTCTTCCAGCAAGCTTGTCGTTTCACGTTCCCTCCATCTCTCCCATCTCCCATTCTCGCCGAGCATCATGCCATAGGAGGCCAAGGAGTACAGCACCGGACGGCCCACGCCCACCGCCTGTGCTCTCATGCACCGAAGACGGTCGGACACCCCGGTCCCAGAGGCGACGCCGGTCGATGTGCGGAACATGACACGATGCTCAATCGATGTTTCGGTGGTAGAACAGGGGTTTAGGGTAGGGCCTACGTAGGGCTGGTCAGCGTTTATACTTTGATCTCCAGTGACCGCTCGTCGTTTCATGCGACTATGGACGGCTCGCGTGTGCGCGAGTCGTTTCAGCGTTTACTATGATGGCTAGCAGCAAATCAAAGCTTCGTTGGACCATTTGGGATCTTTCAGAAAGGCACTGGTTCATGACTTGCATCAAAAGCCAAACTCAAGTAAGTGCAGTTGGTGGATCTATGATCACTGACCAGTTGCCATGCTGATCCATGCTGCATGAGTCACGGCATGAGGCCTCTTAAAGCCCATGTTTCCATGATGGGCATGTGTGTCGCGCTCGCACATGGAATGCGTGGCTCATGCTCAGTTGGAGTGGGCCATTGGCTCAAAGTCGGATGCTTCGAACCAATCCAACTCTCCTGAGCGGCACATAGTTAGTATAGGCGTCTTGTATATAAATAGAATAAACACATGTACTAGTCACTTATGTGACAGAACTGGTTTGGACCAAGAGGAAGTCTAAAAGCTCACTTGCCCCGGCCAAAGGCCCGCCTTTCCGTCCCATGTTTGGCATGTTTGGCACACTTCACTCGCCCGGCACGACACGTGGGGCCAGCCACTCCGCGCCTGTGCACCCAGTGCCACGGCTTTGAAGATATCGCCACCGCGGCGCACGCCGCCATCGATGAAGACCGCAAAGTTCTCCTGAAGACCGAGCTTTGGAGACGGACCGGTGAAGACCGGTTTTTTTCACCGCCCAGGAGAAAACCATCATCAAATGCAAATCCATGCGTTTGGTTCTTAAGTGATGCCCAGTGCAGCATCCAGTTACCACCATAGCTAGTAACCAGTGGTTCCAAAGACTAAAACCATAGACCTAGAAACCCTGGTTCTGTACAAAGAGGTAACTGGCATCCACTGGGATGCCTTCTTCCTCTACTTTTTCTTCATCTACTAGTAGCCTCCTCTACCCCCCGGAAAGAAATCCCCGGTCGTTGATACAAATCAGGAGACGACCAAGCTCCGCTTGGCCCTCCCTGTCTTTTTTCAAGGGCGCGTGACAACAAAGTCACAAGTGGTTGAGCAAACATGCGCAAACCTGGTTTCAAGGGGGAGTACACTCTGACTCACCTAACATGGAAGTGGAAAAAAAAACACCTTGCGATGATACAGGACATTAAAGAAAACAGCCTTGCCAGAGGTGCTGTTCCACTCCCACGTGAGTCAGTGAGAGTGAGAGTGCCTTTACGAACACGCGACCCGAGACAGACCCCCACATCGCCCGTCCACACGCCGTGGACCTCTGAACGTTCTGGTCGCACGTCGCACGTCGCGGTCCATCTGAAGGTCCGCGGTGATCGATGTGGTCCATCTGAACATCCCAAACACCCAGGCCCCATCCATCTGGTCCATCCTGAACAAATGCACTGCACGGGCGGCGGGCAGGTCCCCGCCTTGGTGGCGCCTGCCTCCTTCAAGGCCTCCATGACTTCAGGCAAGACCTTCGAATGCCGAAGAAGAGATGCAGTGGCGGAAGGTGGTCAGCATGGTAAGTGGCTGGTTTGGATCAAGGCAGGGTGGACCGATCCTGGTTCCACATGGTTGCACCGTTCCACCAGTCCGGTCGCTTTCTTGGCAGACCTTTTCACGTGTAGTCGGTTGCCCAGTCGTATCCCCCTTGTCTGGGTGATCTTCCACAACTAGCGAGCGAGTACCACGCACATGTTTATTCATATATGGCGACTCAATTCACATTGCTAGGAAACCATATACATCCATATATACCGATTCCATGACTCTCGCCGTTACGAATCATCCAGTAGGTCTGCACTAGGGACAACCCCCCGTCCCGCCCATTTGACCGCCCAGTGACCCCAGTCCTCTCTCGTCCGCCCGTCGTCCTCTCTCGGCCTCAATGCCGGGACGGCAGGTGTCCAGCTGCCTTCCGCCGTGGTTCGACAAGACGCAGCCCGCCAGCCCGGCCTCACGCTGCGTGGGCGGGCGCGAGGCCAGGGCGGGCGGTTGATTGAACTCCCAGCTACGGGAAGAGGACGAGGTATGGATATGTGTGTCAAGATCCGCAGCAAGGTGGCTGGTATGCATGATCAAGGTTCCAAAATGTTCACATAGTGTTTGCTTTGGGATCTTTTGATAGGCTTGTAGGGTCTACAGTCTAGACTACTGCTCAGGTTGTGGATGTTGGCGAGAAGCAAAGGACTGTAGGGGTAGATGAAGTTGTGAATTCATGGAATTGGGGGGGGTCCCAATAAAGCTTCACACATGACCGACAGGATCAACGTGTCCCTGAAGTCCGGAATCTCTTCCTTCAAGGCAATGAAGACACATCCAACCTGCATACAACTCTCCTGCCTGTCCAAACAGCTGTGCGTCAAACCACAAAGAGACGGGACGGTGTGGGGGCGGATCCGGGACGGAGAGGGAAACCACCCCACCCGAGAAAAGGGGTGTGTCACGGAGAGAAGAAGCCTGAAAAAGGTGTACGAGGTGTATGAATTCTATGGATCATGACATGTTTATATAATCAGATGTGGATCATCCTGAATCCGCACTTCTCCCCCCGAGTCGTACGAGTCGTACGGCCTCCGTCGACGACCCGGCACCTTGAAGGCCATCACGGCATCCTCCGCACACTGCACTCCCTTTAGCAAGACCTGCGGCGACCGAACCACGCGCAGCACGGCGACCGAAGAAGCCACGACGTAGTGGCCCGGGAGAAGCCGCGCAGGTGCTGTATGTGAGAAACGGCAGCACAGCTGGCGCTTCGGACAGGGCAGTGGATGGGAGGTCTGGGAGGTTGGGTACGTATGAGAGTTGATGGGGTAGGTGGCAGGGCATGGCAGGGCAGGTGGCGTTTCCAAGAATCGATTCTCTTTTCACTGGTGCTTTCGCCTGCCCCTACAGGAAAAGATATGAATATAGCTACCTCCAAGTAGCACAGCATAGAACCAAGCCAATAAGAGATATACAGTAGACACTACAGTAAGCTTTAGACGGCTCACAAAAGCAGAAAAAAACAGATCTAGAAGCACATCGATCTGTCTCAAACCGACCGGACGCTGTGTTCATCGGACGCTGTGTTCATCTCGATCTTGCTCCATTTGTGAAATCACCAAGAAGGTCTTTTTTGGGCATCGCCATCATCTTGCATCCATCAGGATTCCCATTGTCATTGTCTTCAGCATGTTTATAGTGTTGCCCAATGTACATAATTATATATAGACATAACGGTTCCAAATACATTTTTAGTGGGGATCGACTTTTCTATTTGGGGGTCTATATACTACCGGCCCAGAGTGTTAGGTTCCAGTTGGGGACAATTCTACAAAAAACAGCAGACCTCAATAGACCTCATGCTTGGACTTTTTCGCACGAAGACTTGGAGAAGACTTCCATGACTTCCAGCCTTCATCTTGGTGATGCTCTTCAACCAAGGCACGTCCTGCGTTGCACGGAGAGACCGCTCCGCGTTTGTAGAGACCGGTCTCTCCCATCGTCTGCGCGGCGGTCGCAGGTCGCAAGTCACCGGACACGATCAAGCGGTCAGCTCGAACCCCCAGAAACCCATGGGTTTCACCGTTTCATGTCCCACATGGATCAGGCTGGAAGACTGTCATCTTCCTAACTCACATGGATCCTCGCGCAAACACATCCCGCTACACCCTTCCGCGGTGCAACCGAACGACGTCTTCCGCACCCTTTCCGTCACCCGTTCCGCGCGTTCCGCGCCCCGTTCCGCGCGAAGTCGCGCGCTTCGCTTCTCCGTGCGCCTCCCAGTTGAGCCCCGGATCGATGTAGCTGCTGATGGCGCGCGTGGCACCCTGAGAACGATCCACACCGCCTCAGAAACCGGTCGACCGACCCGTCGCTGTGCGTCGGTCGTCCCGCGTCGGGCAGTGGGGTGGGGCGTTTGTGGGCTCCAAGTCAGCCTACAAAGCAGGGCTGATGCATGTTGTGAATCCTTCCTCATGTGCAATGCGGCTGGATGCGACTGGGTTATCTGCCGGCCAGTGTATGATGAGATGGTGGATTGTCTCTCACGAGGTGACTCAGCCCTTGGGTGTGGTGGGTGTGGGTATGCTTTCCGCAACGGAACAACATGGCATCTGAAGCAAGTTCAAACAACAAACAAACGTTCAATGCAGGTATACCTACGAGTACCTTCTTGGAGCGTCCACATGATTTCAGTGTACGGTGGCATTGTTCGTTCTATTTCCCGGCTTGGGTTGCTTCAAACATTGACACACGTCCCAACCGACGGTCAAGCCTCCACACCTTCCGCGCCGCGGAGGGCGGCTCGAGAAATCGAGCCGTCTGCACGTCTCCACCGATGTACCCTGGGTTTCACATGGTTCCCTCCATCTTCCCACAAACCACTTGGGCCGGGTTCTGAACCCCGCAGGGTTTCTGCATCCGGTTCCGGAACGGTCCCGAAAACCCGCCGCGTTGGTTTGGTCCCGAACCGCGCCTTCTTCCTCGTCGTCGCCTTGCACGTCCGAGCCCTGTTGGGTGAACTTGTTCCTGCCCGGTCCGAAACCAGCTCCGGTGAGGACGTCCGGTGACGTGTCGTTCTGTGGTGTGGTTCGGACCTGTCCTGACCTGATCTGGGTGGTTTTCTTCACAGCTGCAGGCCTTGCTTTAAGCATTCTTGATCCTTCCTGTCGTTGTCCAGATGCTCGGATGCTTGAGGATGCTTGTGGTAGCATCCTGAGGGACTGATGGTGATTGATAAGTGACAATGGAGTTGAAACAAAGAATTATCCTAGGTCCTACAGTCTTCTCAACAGTCCAACTCTGCACCGAGCATACAAATGTGTGTCCAAAGTGTGAGTTATCTGTTATCAGCATCGTCTGCAGTGTCAAGCTTTAATGGAAATCCATGGTAAAAAGACCTGGGCGCAGCCACATCTCTCCAAAAGAAAAGTATCGCTCAACCTCTGCATGCACTCACCTACACAACAAAAATGGACCTCTCTTGTCCAAATATACAGTACCAAGATGTACCAAGTATGATGGGCAGTTGTAAAATCCTCAAAAAGGATGTATTCGAACACCATCGATTTACAGTAGCATAAGCATGGGCCATGCGTTGCATTGGCACCACAGGCACGTCAACCTTCACGGCCACGGCAAAAACAGCAAACCAATCAGAGAGAGAGAGAGTGAGTGAAAACGCCCCCTCTCCCCGTCCGCGCGACCCATCCCCCATTCCACCTCCCTTCGACCGTCCTTCGTCCGTCCTCACCGCGGCCCGCCTCATGTCCTTCTCCCGTCGGCCCAGCTGTGGGGCGTCCACCGTCACAAAGAGCGCCTGGACACCCGCCTGGACCGGAGCTGGGCAGTGCAGTACGGTGGAGGTTGGAAAGCCGTACTGAACCACACTCACCATGTTGTTTCTTCGAGTGCTTTTTAGTGGGTGTCTCACAAGGTCCCATAAAGAAAAGGAACACTTAGTGATTGATGATGGGCTTTATAAGCCTGCGTGGTTCTTCCACTTGGACATTGATAGACTGGCCAACCATTGAAGGCGAAACACTGCTCACCGCTATGACTCTTTCAATGAGCACATCTGTCCTAGTTCGTTGCGTAAATGGCATCTTAATTTTCTTGAACCAGCATTGTTCAATTCTCAGGTCTTTGATGTCAACTCTGTCCCCACAGGCACAGGAGCCTCAACCTCTCTAAAGAGACAAGAACACATTGCAATGGCGGACAACAGACTTCCAACCGAAAGGAGGCTGGCCACTTCCATCTGTTTTCCATTTCACCAAGATATCTGTGGTCAAAGGCACAGAGGTGGACCATCACTAGGACCATCTATGAGCTCAACCGGCTCAACCCCCTGAATCTTCAGGAGCTTCTTCCAACGGATTTCTCCTTCTCCCACCTCGCTTTTTGCTGTTCGCTGTGCCGCACGGTGACCGTGCCACACGGTGGTAGACCTTCACCAGCCCCGCAGCGCACCGCGCGCAGCGGTCACACTCCACGACGTCTCTGCCTGCTCCAACTTCTGCACGTACTCCTCGGACCTGCCGGTGCAACAAAAAATGGTTCCCACCTGGTGTAGTTTGGGGGGTGGAGACAGCACTGCTATGCGAATCCCCTCTGCTTGGGCCGGGTGGAGACGGGAGAAGCTGCCCCACCCGGTCGTGAGAGGCAGCACGGTCGTGTGCACCGGGTTTTGACATGTGGGTGGAGTCTTGAGGTCATCACACCGCCAGGGCTAAGCTTGGTGAAAAACTGGGGTTGAGCTGGTACTTCGCAAGAAGAACCAAGGCCCTAAAAACACCGAGAATTTCAAGAGCTAGGCAGGTGATAGTGGAGGGTTTGGCAGAGCTCGAGAAAATTGCAGGTCTCAAATCGGGATTGCTGAGGGCAGTGAAATAAAGTGAAATAAGGAACAATCACTTGGAGATGTTGCTGTTTCCATGTCACACCTGGTTCTTTCCATGGTCCACACAGTTTCTGCAACCCAGAACGCTCAAATGCTACATGTGGCAGTCATCTGCAATTTGCGCAAAAAGAATCTACGCCACTTCGTCACCCTGTCCAACGTGACTCCACGCGACAACCGCTTCAACTCATCCGCAAGCCACGCTTCAACCGATCTTGATCTTGTTCTCCAGGACACGCTGCCGGGCGCGGCGAACGGCGCGACGAGTGGCGGACGTGTGGCGTGTGGTGGGCCAGGCCTGGAGCGCTCGGGGTTCACGTAGAGTTGGGAGAAGACCGTCTGGTCAGGAGCCCTGGCGTCACCCGAACCGGCCGGTTCCGGTGAAACGACTCCAGTGCTGACCGCATCGACGTCCCGCATACGCCGGTGCCCCCAAAACGCGTTTGGCCGTCGGATCAGCGGTGAAACCGGTCGGATGAGCGGGGGGGGAAGCTGTTGAGGATCGGGCTTTCGAAGTCGTTGCGGATCGGAACACTTCCCGGGCTCCAGTCGTACCTTCGTTTCGGTAAGGTGGGACTGGGGTGGGTGGGAGGGTCCAGTCATACCGAACCTGAGGCACTTGGAGCCCTAGGGTTCTTAGTTCAGTGGCCTCGGCAGCTCAAGGGAACACGCCGAACGGAACGGATGCAGCTCGTTGCTTCCACCCCCAACGAAGGGTCGATGGTGGACCCAGTTTCGCGAAGTCCTCTCCTGGCGGCCAACATTTCGTCCAAGGTGTAGCCTCATGCGGTGCCGTGATCACACCAATTGGTCCTAAGAGACCAAAAACTGAGGTCCTGAGGTTGTCAAAAAAAAGAAGGAACCATACCTTTCCATAACATACCTTTCCCTTAAGACCACTTTTTAGCCTTGTCATTTCTGTTCCAGTGTTTTGACGCACGCAACACGGAGTGTGTAATCGTGCGAACTGCACAATGGAAAGACAAACCTGAGATGAGACACATATAAAGGGTTATCCATGTTATCGTGTTGTTGTCCTTATGGCCTTCTGGTTTGCAGTGGATGGGACTTCCCTCTGGCAAAACACGGACACACGAAGACATGACATGCTTGAGTGGGTGTTTAAAACTCTCTCTCACCATCAGGGTCAAAACCTTTCGAACATCATCAAGCATCCAAAGTATCTTTGTTCACTGTGTTGATATATTTTGTGCCTTGAAAGTTAATCCATCCATTTGTTGCAAAATGGGGATGGATGGAAAGTGTAAGACCAAAAAAAAGAAAAAAAAAAAACTTCCTGAATTCAGGTGAGCAACTGCTCAAGGTGGGCAGCATGTAAGGCACTCCAGCCTTCTTAGCCGCCTGAATGCTTGGGGAAGAGGCTGGAGGAAACACTGGCACCTTAGGTTTACGTTGTAGGCTCTAGGATTGCTGCTCTACTCAGAAGTTCTATCTGGTTGAAGGTCACCCTCTTCCCCAGAGTTGCAACACTAACGGTATTTTGGGGGGGAGGAGAAAGGATGAGAAAGGCAAAAGAATCACCGGCAAAACCTCGCCAACGCCTTCACGATGGCGACCTCGCCGTCCTCAGGGTCGATGGGGAAGTCGAACTGGGATCGTTGGGGGTCATCTATTTGGTGATGGACTTCAGTGCATGGCTGGCACAAACCATGTAGCTGCAAGATATAGCCAAAAGCAGAGTGGTGATGGAATTGGTGGTGGTTTGGGCAGATTGGGTAGTGAATCAACCCACAAAATCAACCCACAAATCGCGTACAATGTCCAGTTGTCAATAGACTTGCAATGACTTGCATACATGCCACACTTCCAACTCATGGGGTCTTGGGTCGTTGCAATCAGGGTGCCACATGGTGTCACTTGTTTCGTTCTTGGATGTTTCCACCAACTGACCATTCCATCTGTTTGGTGCGGAAAGTGCTCCCGCGTGAAACGCAGGAAGTTTGATCCACACCTGGTGGTTTGGAGAATGGGGATCCTCACATCACAATATGGGGGAACACTCTCATTGTGTGTTCAGTATGTTCAGTCATGAATACGTGAGAAGCGTCTTCTTTTCGTAGAAAATAAGCACACAACCGGGCAAAGTCTTGACAAACCAGTCAGGCATCACACCGACCACGGCCAGTCAGGCACCATGGCGTGTCAAGCGGCATGAAAACCTCATGCAGCACCTCTCCGACCAGTCGTGGCACTCAAAACGGTTGCCGACTGTTCGCGCCTGTTGCTCTGCGACTGTTGCAGAACTTCCGCAACTTGACTGAACTAGACCCAGCTGGAAGTCATAATCCAAGTGATAATCAACTACCACCGAAATCAAACGAGTCATGACTGGACTCTCGAGTTGCTCACGCCCGCTCCCCGTCCGTCGCGCCCGCTCCACGTCCGTCGCCCCGCCGGTCCTGATGGGCCAACTTCGCCAGGGCGGTCGCAGTGAAGTAGAGAGGCAAAGAGGCCGGCACGCCCAGAATCTGGGTGGACATGTCGATCTCCTGGCAGCTGAGGTAGCTGAGGTGGCTGAGGTGGCTGATTGTCGATGCTGCACTTCGTTGATGTGTTCCGCTCGCATGAGTTTACTTGCACAGGCATTTCAACCGCAAACAAACATAAACAAACCAATTGCTGCTTGGGACCTCATCCATCTACCCCCAAAATCCAAGCCTACCAGCCCTGATCATACCACCCCAATCCCCAAAGAACTCCACCCTCGCCACCCGAGGCCGAACGCTCCACCCGCGCGTGTCCACCCGCGCGCCCGGACGTTCACCAGGATGCGCGGGCGCATGGTGATGCGCTGGAAGGCCTGGCCGCGCAGGGCGGGGCGGCGTGGCCGGGGCGGTGGCGTTGGAGAGAAAGCACATCCTCGATGGTCCAAAACACGACACATCGAAGAGTCTGGCATTTCTCTTCATATAGAAGAGTCTTGGATGGTTTTCTCTGAGAGAAAGCATTGCATTTCTCTGAGTCGATGACTGATTCTCTTCATTCCTTTTGGCATTCTCTCAGACTGATTCGAAGTCACCAGGGGGTCCAAGTCTCTCGTTAATGCTGCAGGATATATATATATATATACACTTATATATATATATATGTGCACTGAACGCCTAGCATGGGTTACACAACATTTTATCTTGACCGTGGTCAGGTGAGGGGAAACATTACACAAAAGACCTGAAAGACCGAATGAACCCTGGAAGTTCAGTCATGACTCATGACTCATCCCCTTACAAGTGGTGTATCATGACTACTAGGTCCGGTAAAATGAGTCATTGGAAGTTCTGGGGAAGGCTCTTGATTCATAAGAGCCCATGACGAGGTTTACATGGTTTACGATCCAAATTGTGCGGGTTATGAATCAACAATCTAAAATTACCTAGCAAGTGGTGCGTTAGGGGAAAGAACGCATTTCGCCTCCCAACTTCCAAGACCTAATCGTTACATGGCCTTTCGCCCTGTGTTCATGGGTTTTTCCCTGCCTTTTCATGCCTTTTGAGGGCTGTTCAAGCTTCCAAAGCACCGGTTAAACTGGTGGGTTGACCCCCGCTGCTCAATGAAGGATGTTAAGTCAGGCCATGCCCTTCACGACTTCGAACAAACGTTCGCTCCCTCGAACGTAATTACTGGGGATCCATGCTACGGGGGGCGTCAGCACTCCCAGAAATCGAATAATTCAGGAGGGTAGCCAAGGTAATTTAGAATAGAAATATAGGGTCCAACCTTGCAAATACATAATCTGACTAAGCTATGAGAATACCTCAGCGGAGGCTACTTGATGAAAATAAAATGACCAACGCCAAGGCAAAAATTATGGATTTATTGCTTATGCTAGACGTCGGTCCCCAGTCCACCCTGGAGCGGCTCACTCACCCCAATACTCAAGCACTTTATTGGAAGGAGTGTTCCACTAGAATAAAATCTTCCAACCCAAAGCAAGATCCACCAAAAGAACGCAACCTCTTTCAGTCTGCCAAGCAGTTCTTATTCTAAGGCTTTCCGGCTGGGCTGGTTGGCTCTTGGGGGGGGCTGGCTTGGTGCCATGCGAGCAATTATAGAGATAAAGAAAATTCTGCAGTTCGCCAACCTCCAACCACAACAGACTTGTCTCTGACCATGCCTTCGCAAATTCTATTTTGTATGTGTTGTTTCTAGTTTGGCAAGGCTTGTGTGAGGTGCTGTGAGTTGTGGACGGTTCATTCTGCTGTGGAGGTGGCGTTTTCTTGACCACTTTCCTTTGCTTGTGTCTGTGTTTTGGGGAGGCCTTTATTGGAAGGAGAGTTCCACTAGAATAAAATCTGCCTATCCAAAGCCAAATCCACCCAAAGAATGCAACACATACCTCTTTCAGCCTGTAAAGCAATTTTAATTCTACAGCTTTCTGGCTGGGTTAGGTGGCTCTTGCGGGGGCTGGTTTGGTGCCATGCAACAATTCGACAAAATAAACTCTGCAGTGCTACAACCTCTAAGCACAAAAAACTTATCTCTGACCGTGTTTTCATTTGTTTGTGTGTTTATCCATGGTTATTTAAGATATTCAAGATCAAGTGTTGTACGTTATCACCCGGAATAAAGCGATAAGGCAGCCAGTGTTACATATACATAGTGTAGTAGATTGCAGGCACATCCAAGATCATCCAAGATAATGAAAATAAAATCAACCAGTTCTGAGGTTCAAAGCCATTGTATCACGACTGATTTTACTTTAAACAAAAAAAGACTTCTCCAGCATCAGCCTCACATTCTAAATTAGATTCTGTGGAACCAAGGTCCAGATCTTCCAAACACAGACAGCAATTGAAAACAAAAAAAGTGCCGTCGATTTTTTGCGCTGAAGGGGGCTGAGGTCCTACATTCCTACATATTATGTTCAAAGCCCCCTCCCCACTCGTAATTAGCCACGGATGCTGACCGCGTCGACGCGACGCACGGATCTACATTCCGATCTCGCACATACCCCGCACATGCACTTCCATCGATCGCCGCCCGGGCCATGTGGTTGTCGCGGAGCGTGATCTCGTCGTCGCCGCCCGAGGAGTAGTAGCCCCAGGCTTGTGGCTCCATGACCTGCCCCCCATCGCGATCGAAAGGGATCCGAAGGCGCGGAGATCGGTGCGAAGCGACGACCCTGACTGGTCGGGGGTAGTGAATGGACACCCCCGAATTGGACCGCTAGATATTAACTCACTGCCAGGTCACCAAATTCAGACCTCTTGGGGCCTCTCCCACTACTCGAACGAGGATGCTGGACAAACGCATCGAATGTCCTCCGCCACGTTCGCCCTCTTAAGAGCCAAAACGATCCAGGTCCCTTCACAGCAGTAAGATGGCACAAATCCAAGTCGACCCCAGAAGACTTGCGGATCGATGCTCCCCACCTACTATAGAAGCACGATCGCCCTCTTCGTCTTCCGTTCTTGTTCGGAACCAGGAGTTCCACCTCCACCAACTACGGACCCTCCCACCTCTCCGGACCGCCAAGGGGCCACCGTGGCGCGCCCGCCTCGCGGGCCACGGACTCGAAGTCGAAGGTGTTCAGCATGGCGTTCAGCGGCCTCGCGCGGGGTCCGAGGCGCTCCGTCCGCGCACGGGGAAGAGCGACCGCGCACGGGCCACGGGTAAGAGCTACACGACCGCGCAACACTCACTACGCAGGGTGTTGGGGGAGGCGGTCCACCGATCCACCATCCATGTGGTCGATCGTGGTGGTGGTGGAAGCAAGAAGTAGTGGTTTTGCACGTCTGAAGTTGAAAAAAAAAGATTGGAGAGGAGCACTCTACCCTAAGAATCTGGCCCTCTATGGCAGGGGTCGGGACCCTCCGTCCGGGCCCTCAAAGCCCTATTTGTTTAAGGGACCGGGTTCTTAGGGTAGTCAAGACCTTCCGGTTTCATGGCATGAGATCTTGGAGGCTTTCGGCTGCCATGTGACCTTCAATGGTTGATACACTCCGACGGAGTTCATCACATGGAAGTGGAAAATGGTCCCTTGGAAGGCATGTCAATGTGCATGTGTCCTCTACAATCAAGGAGTACTATAGTTGTCCACTTCCATCTAAGTGATCCGGAATGATCATCATAGGTCTCGAGCACAGCAATCCCGACTTGTGGTTTTCTTGAATTCTGGTTCTCCTTATGTTTATATAAAGACGGCGTTTTCCGACATGACCCGTCGACTCCGCGGAGAAACGAGCGCGCAGAAACGAGCATCAGCACTAGGCACTATAGGTGTGCATGAATCGTCTACACTCCGAGGAACACATCACATGGAAGTGGAAAACCACCTGTTTGTAAAGGAAAGTCGTCTTCCAAGGGGCCATTTTCCACTTCCATGTTAGTGAGTCATAGTGTACACGTTCAAGGCCCTCACGGTACAAACAAGACAAAAACATGAATTCAAGAAAGATGTCCATGAGAAAACCATCAAAAGTTCCTGTCAGGCCAAAAATACTTCAGTCAAGGTATGATCATTTCGCTGCCATCTTCTGTCTGGCCACATCAAAGCAGCGCTGATCCGACGCAAAGCAGCGCTGATCGGATGGAAACCTGTCGGATTGCCCCAGTGCCCCAGTGCCCATCTGCCCCATCCGCCGAAAAAAACCAGCGCCGTTCAGCCAAAGAAACCATTGACTCCCTCGCTTCAGATTCGTTCGTCCAAGCGGCGGCTTCTTGAATTCCTCGACCTCTTCCTCTGCCTGGTCACTCTGCTTGGTTGGTGGGTCACACTCGACCGACTCGAATGAACCAAGCAACGTCGCCTTTTCGCACGTTGCCTTATCCAGTTCAGCCGCTTGGTCGACGTGGATCCACACGTTCACCGTTCATCCACTTAAGCTTTATCCCATCTACTCTAGTCCAGGGGATTTTCCCTTCCTGCTGTTCAGCTGAACACACCTGCCATCATCTGCCCAGGTCTGTATATATATCTCATACATCTCCCCTAGAAAATCCCATACGGTCATCCCCCACCTGGTCGGAATCGACCTTCTTCTTCTTCGGCGCGGGCTTGGGCGCCTGCAAGTGAGCTTAACCCTGGGCCAATGTTGGTGTCGAAGTCCAGATCTGGAGGTAAACTAAGTTTCAAAACCAAGTTTCAAATGTGTGTGTGTGTGTTAATTTATACACCGGACCTTTAGAAACAAATACTGTGGCGGTTTGGCGCTCACGTGCGTGTCCACAGTATCTAGAACATGTCCACCTACAAACTTCTGCTATTTGGGGTGCATCTTGGTTGGAGGTGAACCTCAAAACAATGTACAATCTGAAGGTCAGGCGCGCATCTGCCAGGCTGAGTCACCTCATTTCCCATCATTTCCCTATAGCCACCTTCAAGCCTTGTCCTTGAAGATTTTCGGGGCATTGGCAGCTCACCGTTTCGGAAAGAAAAAGGCCGAAGAAAAAGCACTTGCCCAATAAAACAGAAACGTAAAACAATACAAACTGGGCATCTGTGTTCCAAGAAAACGTAACAAAGAGAAGGTTTTTTGCCCATGTCCTCTTCCTCTGCGAAGCCACACTCGTGTGCCCCAGAAATGCCCTCGCTTCTTGCTGCCGGCACGGGGCCCCCCTCGCGTACGGCCCTCGCTCGGCGGCACCTCAGGAATCTTGGCCACATGCTCGGGCTTGATGGTGGCAGCATCCACCACTCCCATGGTCAAGGAGGGCTTGAGGAGCTTGTCCATGATATCCTGTAGCGGAAATCACAGACTGCCCAGACGCAAAATCGCTGGAGCATAACCGGTGAGCTGGTTAAACCACCTACTCTTGTTCAGTGATTTATATAATGGGGTGACGGGTGTTGACCCAAATTACCCCAAAGAATTCGCTTTGTATGGCTTAATTAGAACACAAAGCAAAGTTTTCTCTGCATCTTTTGGGTTCTTGCACGATGACTCTAATTTTACAAGTATCTGATCCACTCAAACCATGGAAACGATGCACTGTTCTTTCCGCCCTTCACCCCCCAACACAAACAAACCTTTGCTTTCCACGGCCCCTTTCAACGAGAACCCTTCCCATCCGCCTTCGCCGCCCTTCGCCGCGCGCCGTTACTTGCGCGCCGTTCCTGGCGCGTGGCCGTTCCGCGCCTTGGGGTGGATGGGATCGAAGATCTGCGTGGCGTCCATGCCGGCGGCGTCAGTGATGAGCTTGGCACCGCCCGGGTGGACCTTGGCGAACTTCGTCAAGTCGTAGGCCTCGCGGACCGATGACCGCCGTGTGTGACCCACACGTGGCGGAGGGCGGCCGTGGAGTTCGGTGGAGTACGGTGGAGGCGTCTCTTCTTTTTCTTCACGCGCCCCGCGAGGCGCACCAGTCAAAAAAAGTGAGTCAGGAGTATCCCCCAGCAACTCCCTGGGTCACTGGTACTCAGTATCACAGTATATAAGATTAAAGAATGTAAAAGAAGATGCTGGAGAGACCGGTTGCTTTGACTTCATGTTCTGTGTGCTGTGGCACAATCTACACACGCGGTACCGCAAAGGTCTTACAAGGTCCATCCGTACACGGTAAGCAAAGCGGGGTGCGTGTCCTTTGCGAAAAAGCTGAAGTACTACTGCACCCGAGGTTTCTTCGCATGGATTTTGTTTTTGAGCACTAGCAGCTAGCAAAAAAGAAAGGACAAACGCCCTGACTAAAACTTCTGAAAGGTCATTGAAGCAACCAGGTCTAGTTCGGATTGACTGGAATTGCCACAGCTAACCCATGTGAGTTCGACCCTTCGTGAAGGACAAAGACCACCCAAGCTAACCCATCGTGCCAGCCTTGCCATAGAGCACAACCCAGCAATCCTCCTTGGTGTTGTGCTTGGCCACTTCCTCCATGCCTGATGACGAAAAGACGCAGCTTTGGACACCCCAAAACACCGCAAAAACACCAAACCATAATGACCAAAAAAAACGGCCACGGCCGTACGACCAGGAAAATTCAGCGATTTGCAGTTTCAGGTCTATTATATATGGCTGTGGGTGAAAACCTGGAGCCTGGTTGACCCGAGGTTTCTGTGGTCAACCAAGGTACTCCGGTTTTGACCAACAGACATATAGGACTCGGAAACTAGTTCGATCTTTAGGACTCTTCCTCCCAGGTCGGTCTCTCCCTCTAGCTCGCTACACACCGCTGGTTGCCCCAACCTCCGAGCTGGAAAGCCTCCGCTCATAAATCACCAGGCCGGTTTACAAGCAAGTAGGTTTATAGCATAGGTCCGAGGTCCGGATAGCATGGAATTCTAGAAATCCATTGGAATTCGAGTCCAACCACTTGCAACTGCTTGGCACCAGCTGTGCGACCAGTGCGAAAGGATCTGACCGACGGTCAGATGCATCCAGTGTTGATGCTTAGCACCGTCACGTGGATATATAGGCGTTGTAGCAAGAGATCCCATTGCTGGTGAAAGTTGATTCGCTCAGTGCAGTGGGTGGAAAATAGTCGAAACCATCGGTCAATTCTAAGTTCCATTCACCGGTCATTTACGTGTCATCTGTGCGTCATGGGTCGGGGATGGACAAGTCCAATCCTCGATTGCCACCAAGTGGCTCAGCACCTTGTCCGCCATGATGAAATCGGAAAAGAAGAACCGTTGAAAGGGATTCACACGTGCGACAGTCGCGGGGATGATTGATCCAATCAGCAGCTGCGGTGGCACGTGGCACAATCGGCCCGGAAGTCACAGACCGTTGAAAGCCTGTTTGGCAGGGTGGGACACTGCTTCTGCAATGATGCCTGAGTATCAGAGCTCATCAAACCACTACATTGACATGTCATTATAGACACTGCGGGCATGGGGACTGGGATGTGAACACAAGACGGTGCAAAACTTAATCCTGGTGACACATGAAGTAAGTGGCTGTAGGCTCCATGGTAGAAGCTGTAGGCTTGGCTTGGCGGGCTGTAGGCTTGGCGGGCCCCTTGGTTGAAATGTACATGTTCCTTTGCCAGTGCTCTTGTGCATGATCCTCCTTGGCAACTAAGCCGCTGCAAGTCTTGTTTCAACACCTACTCTCTGATAAAGGGTGAGAGAATATGTTGGACTCGAGGGAAGGTCGACCCATCCAAGCAAAGTCATAGACGTCATAGACAAGTCTTAGCGTACTCAGAATCAAATGGTCCGTCAGCGACTCAGAATCAAATCCCTGGTTGAGGACACCCTGCAGGTCAGGAACGGACCTCATTTGGACCTGAAGTTGACCATACGGAACTGAATGAGGGTTGCAAGGTGGACGAGGTTTGGACCTGGGTCAGACTGGACCTGCAGGGATCAGACACCCGCCAGACCTTCCTAGAGGTGCCATCCCGTGACATCTGTGGGCCTCACCTCCAAAGCCGGGAAACGTGTTAAAACGGTTGAGTGGAAACGTGTGCTTACTGCTTACACAACAGCAAGCACCATCTGGAAGTCCCAACAAATAGAGATGCCGGAGATGCCCATGGTTTTCAGTGATCTTCGACATGAAACCTGCTTGTGACACTGCAACCAGCCACTCGATCACAGCTTCCGTTGGAGCAGAAGTCCTCTCGAGACAGCGTGATCTCTACAACCAACGGGTGTCTTCCGAGAATTCACCCATCCCGGCACAGTATTAGGATGTGTTGTTTGAAGGAACATAATTACATAGTCCAGGGGCCAGGGGTGTCTATAAACCACCCTTGGAACCGGAATGCTGGTCTTGCCGGGCTTAGCCCGGACTCTGGACCGCCTCTCGGGGCAGCATCACGGGGAGCTTCCGCAGTGCGGACCACAGCTCACCTGTGCAGAACAAGGTCCGCGCAGAAGTGGAGAAGTGGGGTCAGGGTATGGTGGGTGCCAGGGGGGTCTCTAACCGCTAGCCACCTGAGGATATGGTCAACGTTGAGGCGATGTTTTTGTCCTATCTCCCATGCTACCAATGTTATCACACATGTGATCACCTCACCCAGAATTTCCAGTCAAACTTGTGAAGCATCTTGCTAGAGGCTTCCTGGCTGCGGCGGGACAACCTAAACAACGACCAATTCTTCCAGTCCTGGCCACTCCACAAATAGCTCGGTGGTGGAGGAAGCCAGGCAGTGGCTCAGTATAGGATTCCGTGAGCTAGCGGAAGTAACAGCTTGAGCTGTTCACTTGTCACCCGTCACACTCAACATGGAAAAATGCTGTCAGGGCTCAGGCGAACACAAATCCATGACTGTGAGAAACATAGTACACGTCGGCAGTACTGGGCATGCTGGCATGCCTGCACAAAACTCCTTCAAACAGGAACAACGTGTACCACATGCAGAGTGCGTCATGCCCTGAAAGTCGTTGCCTGTGTCAAACCACGGACTTTCTGCCACCGACTCTCATCTCACTGTTTCAATCCATTGGGAAGAAGTACACCTCCAGCACTACGAGAAGCCGTTTTACCCTCTCAGTGCCAAGTTGTATTCCGTGTACCGTTTACATCCGTATACCGTACTCTATGTTCGATCTCCAGTGGAGTGCGACGTGTGCATCAAACTAGGGAGGCCGACACCAGGCGCGGCAACGACCCCCCTGGAAGGAAACAAGAACAGACCAGTCTACGAGGTCCTCCTCTACGAGGTCCTCCCATTAACAATGCAAAGAAGTGTACCCACCCACTGTGACACAGAGGACCTTCGAGAAGCCGCTTCAACCTCACCAGGTCAGGTCCCGTCCCTCGCGGCGTCCCGAGCGCTCCAGCGAAACCAGTCCGGTCCGGTCGCGACAGTCCGGCCAGGTCGGTCCGGCCAGGCCTCCCGCCAGGATCTCGGTCAACATGCTCACATAGGTCTTGGTCTCGAAGACAGCCACCATGTACCTCGCGTAGGTTTGTGAGGTGGTGACCGTGGTGACCGGACCGCGCGATGTCAGTCAGCAGGTGGAAGGAAAGGGAGTGACCGAGCGAGCGTGAAAAGAGGAGTTCAAAAGAATGAACTCTAAAGTTAATGCTGCGAACAATGGTGTGTCACTTCTGTTCTGCCAAAGGAATTAGATCGAGAGTTAATTTTAAGCAGATTGTCATTTTCCCACGCCAACGTGCGAGCCGGGAGAGTTAAACTGCAGTTAATTCTTTGCAACAGGGCACATCTCCACAATACTGCTTTGGACAATGGGCCCCCGGAATTAGATCTCAAGAGTGAATTCTTGGCTTTCCAAGATCTGGTGGAGGAATCAAATCTGAAGTTAATTCTTACCAAAGGGGGTCAGCGAACACAGGCTCTGGGGAGGAATTAAATCCATGAGTTAATACTTCGATGTGTGCAGAGTTGAACAGAATGAACTCTTGAGTTCTTTCTGAGAACAGTACGGTGTGGAGACATGGGTTGTAAAAAATAACTCGCGTGATTCGGGATGTAATTCTTCTGAAAATTCTTCTTTTCACACCTTTTCAGGAAAGGACTCGGGTCAAACAAGGTGAAGAGCAGTGAAGAGGGAGCTCATCACATCGGCAGCTGGGAGCTGGCTACCAACAGCGATGCTTGAGCGATGCGGCTGGTGCTGGTGAGTGCAGCTGGAGTGGAGTCCGATTCCGGTTTTGCAGTTGCTTGGCAAAGGAAAGGGCCCTTATGTTGACCAACTGTGCAGCCGTCAATCTCCCCTGTTCAGCGCTCCCTTTACACCCCTCTTTGGATTGGAGCACAGGATGAAGGGATGATCGTTCTCCGCCAGGATGTCACACTCGGTCTTCATTTCCTCAGTCAGCCGACGACTCGGCGAGCCGAAAACTTGGTCGGTGAAGAAAAATGAAAACACGGAGGCGGAGGAGGAGGAGGAGGACCCATCTGAATACCATCCTGAAAGGCAAAAACTGAAAAATGAGAGCCAGTTCATGTGTCAAAACAATTCAAAACACGCCAAACACTGGACTTTTACTGCTGTCAGGAAAAGCCTCGCCGCCCGTGTGGCCGTGTGGAGGTTTTTCACGCGGCGGTCCTGGAACTCAAAGGGATACATTGGACTCATGAGATCTGTGGCCCTCAACACCATAGCAGGTTTGACAACGTCTGCCAGTCCGTGTCGTGCTGTGTCCTTTTTGTAGAAAATAGGTCCAATGGAAGAACGACTTCTGTTGATCTTCAGTGGTCAAAGAGTCAAAGAGAGTGCTGACTCCCTCAGGTTCCCTGGAAAATAGGAGGTGTGCGTGTTCCACCTGTTTTTCATGGTTTTTAGTGGGCTTGTCTCCAAACCCGAAATAAGAAGGTTGGGAAGGTGATCCCGACTCTTTGGACTTCCCGAGTTGGGGGGTGAATTTTCATGAACTCATCCAGTGGGAACTCAATACAAATGTCTGTTCGTTTTGGGGGAACCACTCAGCATGAAAACGAGACCTTTGAGAAAGCAGCACTCTTTCTTCTTCCAAACACCGGCCAGGCCGGGTCTTCAGACCAATGCGCCCAGAAGCGAGTGCGTGGCAATCGGTGAACACCGAACACCGGCCCTCAACACCATAGCAGGTTTGACAACGTCTGCCAGTCCGTGTTGTTGTGCTGTGTCCTTGTTGTAGAAAATAAGTCCAACCACCTTGTCTGATGGGTGCCAATCCACCAATCATCCCCATGTCGGACCTGTTTCGACTGCCAAGTTGCTGTAGGCATCTTGCCGTTCAGGGTCCTCTTGCAGGTCTTTAACGCGTACTTCGCCCCAGTCTTCCTAGCGGAAAAGCCACGTCGAGTCAAGCGGTTCTTTCTTCGCTGGTGAGGCAACATGCTCTAGATGTATGCAGGTGGTGGAAGATGGGTAGAATTGAATGGACTCAGCACTCTTAGTGTAGTATTTTTATATATTACATTGATCGTTGATCGAATTGGACAGAATTGGTCATTTTGGTGCACAAAGGTCATGAGGATCTTCTCATCCCACTCTTGTTTTCTCCTTCACACCAGGGGAACAAAGTTTTCCAAGGCTCCCAGTTCACTTGGCCCACGTGACCTCCCATGCCCTCTCCATCCCCCATTCACCACTTCCCCCGTCGTCACCTCCGCGCAACCCGCGCGCGCCTGTGTTCGACCAGGCGGACGGTGCTGAAGGCTCCGGCGCCCAGGAAGCTCAAGGGTTTCAAGTCCGACAACGTCACCTCGCACCGAAGAAGGTCGACGCCGGAGTTCGCGGCCGTGTTCGGTTCTTTTTTTCCGCGAGCGAGTCGGTGGGTGGATGGGACGACGACGAGGCGTTGAAGTGGTGGCCGCTTTTGCGATAAAGAAAAACAGGGGAAGGGAAACATTGGGATTCCTGCAACCCGCCTTGTGCCTCCTACCCCTAGGCGAGGGTCCCTTCACTTCCCTCGACCCCGGCCTTTCCAGGAGCATTTGCCTTTACCATCCCCTTTTCCGTGAGCCTTACACTCGCTTTCGCCCCAACTCTTCTGGGGTCTTTGAGCCACGCAGAGGAACCGGGTTTTGCCCTTCCTCCCTGAGCTTCTTTACTGAGCATTCATGCATTTTCCGAGGGAGACCTGAAGATACCGTTGGGTGCCAAGCGAGCCGTCAGTGGTTTCCGAGTCAAATCACCAAGTGTTGGGGCGACTGAGTCCCATGGCTTGCGTTCGCGCCTCAAGTGTTGCGACTTCAATTGGGGAGAACCAACCTGATCGAGTTAGTCGAGTTAGCGTGGAGGAGCCACCTCAGTCTTTGGGGTCCATTGCTCAGGTGAAGGGTAG